GCGCGAGCAGAGCGCCAGCAGAGCCTCCCCCGCCGGCCTCGGCGCCCATGCCCGGGACGCGCGCCCTGGACGCCCGCACTTAGCAGCATGTCGCGGCGCAAGCAGGCGAAACCCCAACACCTCCGCTCGGACGAGGAACTGCCGCCGCCGGACCTGGCCTCGGAGAACGGTGAGGACGGCGGGCGAGCGGGCGGGCGGGCGGACGGGCGGGAACCAGAAACCAGGACAGGAGCTGCCTTCTGCCGCCGCCGGCTCCGGAGCGCGGGCCCGGCCCGGCCGGCCGAGTTTCGCGCGAAGTAAACTTGGCTCTGCGCGGGGGAGCGCGCGGCCGGGAGCGCGGGGCTGCTGGGCGGGGGCCGCGCCGCCTCCTCCGCACCGTCCCCCCACCCCCCCGGAGCGTTTCGGGCCGTGCCGAGGTGGTTGTGACCAGGTCGCCCCTCGGGCCGCCGGGCGCCCTCTGGGTCCCGCGGCGCCCGGGTGCTGGCCCCGGAGGAGACTGCGGTGACCCCCGCCACTCTTCGGGGACCTCGGGCCTGTCTCCCAGGTACCAGTGAGCTGGCGCCGAGGGCCGCCAAGCAGGAGCTGTCCCTCAGACTGACCAGTTGGCCCCTTTCCAGAGCGAGTGGATGTTCTAAAGCCGTTTCTTCCGACCAGACACATTGATTGGATTTGCTGGCTGTGGTGTCGCCGTGGATTGAGCCCGGCGCCGGTGGGCTCACAGGGTGGTGTGGGTTTCCAACGAATCCCTAGGTCTTTCCGCCTTCTGACTGCACGGACATTAGCATCTCGAGAAGGACCCCGGCAGTCACTTAGCTCTTGGGAACTCCTCCTAGATTGTACCCCAAATGGAGAGCTAGGGCGTGCGGGCCAGGCGGGACCGGGAAAGTTAGAGCCTGGCGAGGTGGCCAACTTCCTGCGGCTGAGCTTTAGAAATGTCCAGATTAGGGTCCTGCATCCACTCTCCCGGTACCAACATCCCTCCCGGTTCGCCGCCAGGGACCCGCGCCTGCGTCGGGGCCCCCGGCGCACTGGCGCGAAGGCCGCGAGGAGCGGCCGCGGCCCGGGTACATGGCGACCCAGAGTCGGCTCAGAGCAACGCCATCACATAATTTACACTTGGTCGGGGGCGGGGGGGGGGGCGGGTAGGCTGGGCAACTTTTTTTTTTTTTTTTACTTATTTAAAATTGTTTAGACCTGTATTCTGATATATTTTTCCTCTGAACGTTAGCAGAAATAAACGGAATTTCAGAGTTGATAGTACAGTGTAGTAAAGTTTGAGACATCCCTGTCGGAATAGAGGGAGGGACAGAACATTAATTCTCCGGTTGGGAATTAATGAATTAAATGAAATTATTAAACTACTTTGGGTCTTTTTGTGGCCCTGGCGGTAAAGGACTCTATCTGTGTAGCCAAGTCGCCCAAGATTAGAACCGAAGATATGCTAAAAAGAATCGCTTGCATATGGTGGGTAGATTAAGGACAAAGAATCTTTTTGTCATGGAAATGGATTTTTTTTTTGTTTTGTTTACTTCATCACATAGAATTCCTCACACTTGGTTTGTTTTGTATTACCCTCAATGACTACATGATCAAATGAATGGATTTATTTCTGCCCAATGAGAAAGACAGTCTTGCCTTCAAAAGAACTACATTGCATCCCAGTGAGGAATTTTAAAGCTTTATTATTGTGGGCACTGAATAGCTTCAAATCGGCTTTCACAGAAGCTCCAAAATGCAACAATGTAAATACTTCTCAGCTTTGTAAGGTCCTTATCATAATGTGCAATGTCTCCTTTTATTAAAGCATATTTTAATTAATAGAGTAAAACACTTGTATTTAACAATTAACAGGCTGAGGCACTGCTATTCATTTTAAATTTCACTTTAGAAATGGAAGCTTGGTGAACTTAATAGTGTAAACATGTTGAGGGGCATGTAGCCTATATTTGAAAACCTAAGGTAGAGTAAATTATTTACAAGTTCTATTTTGAATTCCCCTCGCTGGTTCTCTGATTTTATTTTATTTTTTTGAGATGCATTGTATTTAGGTTTTCTTCCCTCCGTAGGATTAAAGTTTTTTTCTAGCCTGTGTTTTTCACAGCCCTTTAAAATTGTCATCAAGATATTGCCACAGTTCCTCATCATATTTTGCAACAGGCCAAAAATAGCCTGTCTGGGGGGTGGGGGGTGGGGCAGAACCTCAGTCAAGTCATTTGTTTCTAGGCTTGTTTTAAGGGTAGTTTAGGCAAACTATTAAAAATAGTTCTTTTTGATTTAATGATGGTGAAGCAGATTGTTGCTGAAGCATAAAAGGTCCTCTGCCCCCTGTCACGTCAAGAAGTGCTGATGTATTATTACCCTGTCATTGCTAAGATAACGAAGTAAAACATATTTTTAAAAGATCAATGGTTGTGAAACCGAACTTGCTCCAGCTTGATTCACATTGCCTCCAAAATTTAATTTTGTTAAGTGCACATGCAAAGGGCATTAGCATATAGCAGGCATGAAGCTAAAAGGGAGTTAAGTTCGTTTAACAGTAGGTGTTTTCGGAGTGAAGTAATTCCTTTGTATCACTTTGGACCGTGACATATTAATTAAAGTACTGGATCCATACAGATGCAGTCAAATTGAAGGCTGTTGGTAATGTTGTGAAGAATGTTTTGTATACAGTTTTTCTAGTACAATAAAGGGGAAGATACATACTGACTGGCCTTAACTCACAGTACAAAACTAAAGGAGAAATAAGACTTAGCTTTGAGGCTTTGGTTTTTAGGGATTGTCAGACAGAAAGAGCTGCGGTACTTACACACCTCGGTCTCCTGCTGAAGTGAAATAAGATGGTTTATCCAGAAAGAAAAGTGCCCGGAGATTTGCCAATTCTGCTGCTATCCTTTTGTAAAAATGTATCTGAATGATTATTGAGACTGACATTCCCAGGAGGAAGGGTCTTTGAAAACGACTTAGTTGCAATTTATTTCATTGAGATTTCTGAAAAATCAAATTGTATGGAAGCAGCCTGGGGGTCAGTTAAATACGTGCCACCAAGAATGAAATCCTTTGAGCCAGCTGAATATTTGTGTTTTAAGAAAAATTAATTAAAACTTACCATGCCAGTGCAGCATTTATACTCTTGAGAACTTTAAAAGTGTAATCTATGCTATCCTTTCTCATATAAGATACAATGTAATAAAGATGCATTTTAGGGTAGTTTAGACAGCAAGTCTGCATTTAAGGAAGAACAGGAAGCAAGTTGAATTGAAAACCATTTGCCATTGTGTCCTTTCTTCAAATTGTTACCACTAATTGTTTCAAAGTGTGTTTTTATTTTCTGCCAACTTAATTCGTGTGGCTATCTCAAAAATCCTTTCAAATGTGGTGAGCATATGATGTGAGAATTTAGCCTTGGTATTCAGAGGCTGTGTGTAAATGAGGGAGAAGAAGGCCGCCGGCCCGCCCGCCCAGAGCTGTGGAGAGATCCTTGTCTTTTATCTGTACTGCATGCTTTGCTGGGCACTTTCTTTGGTGCTCACAGCACACAGCACACACATTGACAATTCAGCAAACCAAAGGGAAACACTGGAGAAGCCACTCTCCATTTCTAGGCAGGTTTTGTGTTTTTGTTTTTCACTCTGAATTTTGGAAGGTAAGAAGTAATCATGGGGCGGGTGGGGGCGGGGGGCTAGGGGTTGATAATTTGCAAACATTTCTTTAAAACATAACCCTTAAAAACTTACCCTACTTCAAAATGCATCCTGTGGTAGTCCACCAGAGAAGTGCTGGTTAATTTTCACCTTGCCGAGGAACTGCTTACATGGTGGAGTTGGGGGGTTTCTGTGTACCATACATGTGAAACTTCCACAGTGTGTATAATCGAATATTTCTAGACCTATTCAGAGCCAGGAAAAGAAAGGAGACACGGGCAGCCAGCAGGAATTCCTTAGCAAGCTGATTATTTGTTGTGTACAAGATGCTGGGAAAGCAAAAAGTAGGTCAGGTTTCATTTCAGCGGGATCTTAAGAAGCTTTACCAAACTCTCAGAGTAACATTTCCTTTGGGGGGGGGGGCGGGAATCAGCAAAGGTCCGGGCAATGTTTGCATTCTGTGTACAGAAGGAACATCGGGTGGTTGGAATTTAGCGTTCCTAAACGTAAGAATTGGCACTGCCTTTGAAGTGAAATAAAAGTCTGGATCTGCTCATCAGGTGATACTGCAAGTTTAATGAGCAAAATAGTTTCAGGGACCATGATTTTTGAATCCTAATAGCGAGGGCTTTTTGTTGGTTTTGCTGGTGTTTTTATCCAACATGCTTTCTTGACTAATTGCCAGGCTCATTAAGACGTGAGTTAATTCCACTATGGGAGGAGCAGGTTTGTAATTACAGCACATACTAAGTGGCTATATACCAAATCCAACATACATGAAGACTGTGTAACATGGAATGTTTACTATTACCTTAAAGAAACTTTCATTTTTAAAAAGCCCATACTTCGTTTATCTTGTGGTTGCAACCTATTTATTTCAAAGACTGTATGTCTGTCTTTGACTGTCTGTCTGAAAGAAGTAACCCAAGCAACCAGTCAGATATTCACTGCAATAGGAAAATAATGTGACGCTCCATATTTGTATTTGAAATTAAGGTGGATTTGCTGGTTGACTCAAGGAACAAGTGCTGGGGCCTGGGACAGTATAGGACCACAGAGACCACCGGTGCAGGTCGCCTGGTGTCCCCATATTTTATTGTGTGGGTTTGTCTTTTCCAATCAGCCCGGAATTGCTATGCTGAACCGCTTCACGTTTTCTTGAAAGCACAGCGGCCAGTAAGCGCTAAGAAAGCTTTTTCTGTGTAGTGCTTGGGAAAGGTGGACTCCTCCGCTGGGCCCTCCCTGAAGGTGGGCACTTAGAACAGCCCTGACATGCCTTGCTGGTTTAACCTTTGCCTACTTTGCCCTGCCAGGGGTGGCCACTAGATGTCAAGCTGATCATACAATTAGTACATCCGAGCAGTTGACCTTGGCAGTGTGGCTTACAGGTTCTGTTAAGTGTTAACACTGAATTTGAGTGCTAACCGGGGACCCTGCGAGGCCCCTTCCTGCTTATCAAATGTGCCTCTAGTTCAGCAGGAGTGTTTATAGTTCTGAAAGGAGGGGAAAGGTTTTCTTTTGTGTGGCC